CAAATAAATAAGTATAAATTTTTTTTCAGACAACCTTTTTTTTAAAGATAACCTTCTGAAATTATATTAGGATATGGATTAATGTTACATTAAAAAATTGCACTATTGAGGCCTGGTGTGGTTCACTTATTAATCTCAGTCATTAACATGTTACGAGGTCAAACCTCAGCCAGCGCCACTAGTTCCCAGATAGGTGGCCATCTGGGTTTTTATGTTGTATTCTCATCCCATATACATATGTTTTGAACCAACCAAGCCTTAAGAAAACGCTAAAACTGCATGTGTTGTTTCCGTCTTACAAATGTACAATATAGCAAAAACTATTTTATGCGGGATAGAACCAACTCAGGCTGTAGTCATAACTAAGAAACAATATTTTCACACTGTAAAAAGGAAAACATTTATTTTGCAATATTGTTTTTATTTTTTTGATATCACAAATACAAAAAAAGTTGTTCAAGTTTGAAATGATGATTTTTTAAACAGTAAAAATTTTTATTGTTCTTAAGTGATATTAAAAAAAAAAAAACAATATTGCAAAATAAATGTTTTCCTTTTTACAGTGTGAAAATTTTGTTTCTTAGTTATAACTACAGTCTGAGTGGTTCTATCCTGCGTAAAATAGTTTTTGTTGTACATTAGATGGAGAAACATGCGGGTATAACGTCCTCTTAAACTTAAAAAAAAAATACATTATCAAACATGATTAAAAACTAGTGTAATTTTATCTTTGATTTCTTACACTTGATTTAATAAAAATTTTTTTTAGATGTCTCTGTTTGTTATTGGCTTGATGACTATGTTTATCATTACTGTACCATACTTTTCCATACTATTGATTATTACATTAATAATGGGACTTGCTGATGGATGTTTTGTTAGTGTCATGGGTCCCATTGCTTTTGATTTAGTTGGTCAAAAAGGGGCTGCACAAGCCATCGGATGCATTCTTGGTCTCTGTTCTATACCATTGACAGTCGGCCCACCTGTTGCTGGTAAATAATCTATGAAATGTGGAATTATTTCACCAAAAACTAAACCAACTTTATTATTTTATTTACAATTATTTACAGTATTTAATTTGTCTATATTCAGGTTGGATGTACGATAAGTACAAATCTTATACAGGTGCATTTTTAATTGCTGGACTACCACCCATGATTTTTGGAATACTGTTAACTACTACACGGTGTGTAAGAAAAAGAAATATGGAAATGGACATAGAAGATAAGGATCCAAATGAACCAAAACTTCTTGACCCAATGCCTGAGTCCTATAGAAAAGAAGGTAAGAATTCAACTATTATTCCCACTGCTGAACATCCATTACTACTATCAAAGACTATTAATCCAAATTACACTMGTTAGAGTTGTGTTTTTTACATAGATATAGTACCTACTGTACTTATTATTCAATTGTAAAAGTTCTAGAACAAAAATAAGTAATTACCTAAATGTTATGAAAAAGTCAAAAAATATTGTTGAATATTATTTATTACCATATTATATAGGTAATATATATGCAATATATAATATGAATTAACGTTAAATACTTAAAATAATACCTATTTAATAATAACCATAAGATTTAATTTACTTACTAGTTACTACTATTGATAAAGTTGAATAATACCTATTTATTGTAAACTTGTATATTACTTAGGACTTATTATTCTATATTATATTATTTAATATTATAATTATTTCAT